TCTCAAATTTGAATATTTTGGCTCTCTGGGAACTGGTAGTAAAGCAGGCTAAACTGTATGGGGAAAAATTATTTTTATTTAATTGTAGCTTGTTGAACAATAATTTCCGGGAAAAAAGCTGTACGACAAAGTCACTGACTAATTTAGGTTGTCGTTCACTTTTTTTACCTGAATATGCACCGAAAGCGAATTATTCCCAATTCTCTCAATTTCACTCTCTCTAACTGTCCATGGCCAGTGGTGGAAAGCAAAAACCGAATTAATCAAACTCACAACCTAAGTATTAAAAAAAAACAGACATTAGACAACCTACCATTGGAAATCAATGTTTTAAGCTCATAGAATGCAGAATAGCCATACAAACCAACTGGCGTTCATCGTTTTGACGGTACAGTCAGGAATCTTTATTGCCGGGCTACCGGGAATAAGGATACCCACAGCTTATGGGATTTTCACTAATGGGGGCAGTGGTGGATTATCTCTTTTATTTAAATATATAAAGTTATACTGTCTTCGACAAAGTTGTTGTACTGGGATAGGCCAACAAGCCTGTGTCATTGGATTCAGGTTTAATTGGAAACTACGCCGCTAGAGGCGCTTCAATTTTATATTCCTAATGATGGGCGTTATAATGTATGGAACGTTGGACCCCAAGTAACACTTGCAACATCTTGCATGAAAAATAAAAAAATTCCAGTTGTAAATAAGTTATATATTAATTGCTTTTAAAAGATACTGTTTTAGGCGCGTTGTATTGTTTTTTTGTGAAGTAGTCGACCTTTCTGACAACCACTTGTTATCTTGAAGTTATAATTCGATATTGCATGTCTCAATTACCAGTTTATAACACATTTATAACTGATTATATTTGGTGAAAACTGGCTAGACTTATGTACAACATGTTTTCATATGTCATTATTAGAAACATGAATACATCTGAGATGTAACTTATTGATAACATGTTATTAATAAGATATATTTCAGTTTTCATCAAAAACAATCAGTTATAAAAGTGTTTTAAACATGCAATTGAGAGTTGCTATACCTAATTATAACTTCAATATACGATAAAAATAATGTTCTTGTTTTTCGTGTTATAAACATGTTTTGATAACAAATATGAATTGTCTCAATGCATTCTACAAACTGCACTACAATATGGCTGACCAATGAAGCAATGTATAGAATTTAAAAAAAAAAACATTTAATTTGTGCTTTCAACATCACATGTACGTTTTGTAAAAGAGAAAAGTAAGATAATTTAAAAAGAAAGCTGATATTCTATTTTTTTTTTGTTTTTTGCAAAGTTGGGGAATTTTATCCAGGATTTTTTATGCAATTCAATTTATTATATCAAGCTTTTTCTAAGAGCCAATGAGTTTTTTAGAAGTAGAATGTATAGATTTACCATAAATTCGCAACCGCATAAATGTTTGCAGTACGGAATCTCAGTTTAGGCACTTTATTTGCACGATAAAATTCCTCAGAAGAATAAGTTGTGTAAATTGATGATAAACAAATTCCATTAGTAGGAAGGATTAAATTAATTTACAACATGTCCAAAACAGTAGGTTGCGTTATAGTCATAAATAAGTGGCGCAAGTCAAGCATATGTTATATTTAGATCCCACCTCTTGCACTTTTTTCGGTATAAATAAGTTGTATATAAGTGACTAGACGTAAATGTTTACCGCTGATATTGTCATAAATAAGTTAGCTAAACCCGTTTATGACTAATTGTGTTACTTGGGACTCAAGTTAAAATATTTCGTGATCCTGGACATCCTGACCATATAGAAAGTTACTGTCTTCAGCAAAGTTGTTCAGGTGATCATGTTCTTTTGGATGGTGGTCATACTAGTTCAAAACTATCTCACTACGCAGCGCTAGTGTGCACGTGCAATTCCTATATAAACTGTATCTCGAGAGCCTGGCCATATAGGAAGTTTCTGTGTCCAGCAAAGTTGTGCAGCTGACCAAGTCCTTTCGGATGATAGTCATATTAGTTCAGAACACACTCGCTACACGGCGCTAGTGTGCACATGAACTTCCTAAATATGTTAATTCTCGAAAGCTTGTCAATATAAGATGTTGCTGTGCAATGTGAGAACAGGAACCGGAAAAGGGATGACGTGTAGAGGCTGGAAATCGATGTCAGACGCCATTTTGGAATCCAAGATGGCGGCCATCGGTTCAAGAAAAACCATCAAATACCCTACAATATGGGTATTTCTGGAAAGGGAACAACGTGTAGAGGCCGGAAATCGATGCCAGACACCGATTTCAAATCCAAGATGCCGGCCGCCGCTTCAATAAAAACTGTTAAATACCCTACAATATGGGTATTTTCGGAAAAGGAACGATGTAAAGAGGCCGGATATCATTGCCAGACATCATTTTGGAATTTAAGATGGCGATCACCGGGTCAAGAAAAACTGTCAAATACCCTACAGTATGGATATTTTTGGAAAAGGTACGACGTTTAGAAGCCGGAAATCGATGCCAGATTCCATTTTGGAATCGTAGATGGTGGCCGTCGATTAAACAAAAACTGTAAAATACCCTACAATATGGGTATTTTCAGACCAGGAACAATGTATAGAGGTCGGATAGCGATGCCAGATGTCATTTCGGAATCCAAGATGGCAGCCAAATACCGTACAATATGGGTATTTCCGGTTAGGGAATGACGTGTAGAGGTCAGAAATCGATGTCAGACGCCTTTTTGGAATCCAAGATGGTGGCCATCGGTTCAATAAAAACTGTCAAATACTCTACAACATCGATTCCCGACCTCTACACGTCATCCCTTAGCCGAAAATACCCATAATGTAGAATATTTGACAGTTTTTCTTGAACCGATAGTCACCATATTGGATTCCAAAATGACGTCTGACATCGATGTCCGGCCTCTGCACGTCGTTCCTTTGCCGAAAATACCCATATTGTAGGGCATTTGACAGTTTTTCTTGAACGGATGGCCACCATCTTGGATTTGAAGATGGCGTCTGGCATCGATTTCCGGCCTCTACACGTCATTCCCTATCTGGAAATACCCATATTGTAGGGTATTTGACAGTTTTCTTGAACCGATCGCCACCATCTTGGATTTGAAAATGGCGTATGGTATCAATTCCCGACCTCTACACGTCGTCCCTTAGCCGAAAATACCCATATCGAAGAATATTTGACAGTTTTTCTTGAACCAATAGTCACCATCTTGGATTTAAAAATGACGTATGTCATCGATTTCCGGTCTATTTACATTGTTCCTTTTCCGAAAATACTCATATTGTAGGGTATTTGATGGTTTTTCTTGACCCGATGGTTGCCACCTTGGATTCCAAAATGGCGTCTGGCATCAATTTCCGGCGTCTACACGTCGTTTCCTTTCAGAAAATACTCATATTGTAGAGTATTTGTCAGTTCTTCTTTAACCGATGGTCGCCATCTTGGATTCCAAAATGGAGTCTGGCATCAATTTTCGGCCTCTATTCGTCGTTTCCCTTTCCAAAAATATCCATATTGTAGGGTATTTGACAGTCTTTATTGAACTGATGGCCGCCATCTTGGATTCCAAAATGGAGTCTGGCATCAATTTTCGGCCTCTATTCGTCGTTTCCCTTTCCAAAAATATCCATATTGTAGGGTATTTGACAGTCTTTATTGAACTGATGGCCGCCATCTTGGATTTCAAAATGACGTCTGAATCAATTTCCGGCCCCTACACGTCATTCCTTTTTCGGTTCCTGTTTTCACATTACACAGCAACATCTTATATGGACAAGCTTTCGAGACATAACATATTAAGGAAGTTCATGTGCACCCTAGTGCCGCGTAGTGAGAGAGTTCTGAAATAATATGACCATTATCCGATAGGACTTATTCACCTGAACAGGCATGGAATCATTTGCATTCATTTCATACATTCATTTACATTCATTTGCCTCTAACTTTTTTCATCAACAGCATTCCGCAAAATGATGTACAGAGCTTTTATAGGTTTTGTTAATCACTACAACTTTTGCTCGCAACTCATATCTATATCTCTTATGCATCATGAACTAGAGTGGGCAGAACTTATTACTGTTTTCCGGTGAATGTAAAATACATTCACTGAAAAACAGTAGTGGATTCTGTTCGCTCTGGTTCGTCATGCATAAGAGATACGGATTTGAATTTTTAACAAAAGTTGTAGTTAATAACAAAACCTACAAAAGCTCTATACACCATTTTGCGGAATTATGGTGAAGAAAAAAGTTAGAGGCAAATGAATGTAAATGAATGCACGAAATGAATGCAAATGATTTTCCATGCCTGCACCTGAACAACTTTGCTGAAGACAGTAGCCTCCTATATGGCCAGGTTCTCGAGATACAGCTTATACAGGAAGTTCAATTGCACGCTAGTGCCACGTAGTGAGAGAGTTCTGAACTAATATGGCCACCATCCGAAAGGACTTGGTCACCAAAAAAACTTTGCTCAAGACAGCAACTTTCTATATGGCCAGGATCGCGAAATATTGTAACTTGGGTCCAACGTTTTATATATTATAACGCCAACATAAGTAATATAAAAGTGAAGTGCCTCTAGCGGCATAGTTCCCAATTAAACCTGAATGTAATGGCACAGACTTGTTGGTCTAACCCAGTAGAACAACTTTGTCCAAGACAGTGTAGCTTTATGTAATGAAACAAATGAGATAATCCACCACAGCCCATATTAGTGAAAATCCCATAAGCTGTGGGTATCCTTATTCGCGGTTCCTTATTCACGCCCCCGTTACCCCGGCAATAAGGATTCCTGACTGTACATATTTTTTTAGATAACACCGCCCAGAGGAACACCGTGTCCGCGTCATCGATCGTTATTGTGGTTGGAGTAGGTCTGACTCATACAATTGAATTAGGCACACACACATACAGAAATAGGCCATGAGGAAGCAGCAGCTATTGCCTCGATTGGGGTAAAGCAATTCAACGACGACGAGACACACTTACCGAGTACGTCCAGATCTATCCGGCAGTTCTTCGTTGGCGACTTTTGAAAATCCACCCGGCATCTGTGGAAGGAAGAGAAAAATAACACAGGAATGAATGTGAGTATAAGAAGAGTGAATGATTGGAAGGAAATTCGATTCGATGTGGTTCTCGGAACTCGGGGGAAAACCTTCTTTTTCTATTATTCCTCCTTCCTATAGGCCTATAGTCACAATAGACTAAGTGACGAGTCGAATAAAGGAAAAAGTTTTCTTTTTTACTCATAAAGTGAGGAAAGTTTGAAGAGAGTCTCATTTTAGTAGGAAAAAGGGTTCCTCTCATGCTGTGAAGTGCAACTCAAAATATTCATCAGCTTTTCGAGTGGGGTGACGAGAAGCTGTCTCGTTTGATGACGCTGTCATTCGATGTACAAATTGAAATTCATTAGAAAACTCCTCGTCAAGAATGGAATGACAAACATCGACTGGTGAAATTTTATTGCAATCATCGAAACGACAAATGACGATAATAAGTTCAAAGATGAGCGATGAGCACTAGACTAGACTAGATGATATCTACTCATCCAATCGCAGTAGCCAACTCCAAGTTAGTATCCTGCAAAGGGTCCTCGGAACGACTACATGATTGGCATAATAAATAAACCCCCTCGCCTTTGAGAGTCCATCAGTTCATTTCGGAGCTGCCGAGCACGAATCGAGCAACGACCACCGCTGCCCCCACCTCCAACTACGGAGTCGGACCCCATCGATTGAACATCGTATTTCAATTCTGTGCCAGGTCAGCTGACACCAGACATCCCAGCCGAAACTTTTACGTCCAAAAGAGTTATAAATTGAGAATCAATTACGGACACTTGGGCCAACTTTGCCCATCGGTGGTCAGCTCGGAAGGGCACTTGAAAGAGAAACCGGATCCGTTCGGCACACGCGCGCGCGCGGTTTCGGAATTCCAAATGAGACAGTCCGTGGAAGTCCGAAGGAAGTGGATTTCCTCTGGAAAGTATGAATTTTGACGGTCGAAAAGTCAGTTAGTGGAAATCCTTTACGTGACCCTTGTGGGTGGTGAATTTTTAACACGTTTGGTGGGCGAGTTATTTTAGGAGAAGGGATTTTTCGATGGAATTCTTTGAAGGTTTGGATCATTTACTGGGTTTTCGTGGAGCTTAGGAAAAAATATACCTACAACCAACTGGGAAATGTTAGATTGTGTAATGTGGTGGCCGAAAGGTTTCTAAAATTATTTTCTAATTTTAATGATAGCTTATTTTTAGAACAAAGTTTGTTCACCCAAATGAATCGAAGAAAATCATCCCTAGGAAATTCGAGATGTTAACTTGGTGACAACCGGCAAAATTGATGATCGGAAACTTCTAACGTTTGACTAAACCCACTTCTCACAGGACTGTCCATTCCACCTAGTTATAAATCTAAGTGCGTTTATCCTCAAATACTGGTAATAGGGTACCTATATTGCCAGAAAATGCCACACGACGGTTGTATGGAGTATCAGATTATCTGAAACTCGTCCTATGATACGGAGCGCCAGGGGCCGTCCTCGCCTACTACAGGGTGTCCGAATATAATCCGTACAGCAAAATGTTGTTGAAATTATCTTTGATTGACAACTTAAAAAATCAATAGTCATTGTTTATTATAGCAATATTTATTGAAGAAAATAGTCTTATTTGTTCATTTGAAAATGGCCGCCCCGTGCTGAGATACACGCCTTTAAACGTTTCGGGAAGTTATCCACGATGGCCGAAAGTTATTTTCCAGATATTTCTTCCCAAACCTATAGAAGAGATGCTTTCAAATGTTCCAGTGATTTATGCGGGGTTCTGCAGGCTCTTGACTCCAAGATAGACCATACCGAATAGTTTATTGGATTAAAATGCCCCATGAGCCGGCAATCGTTCTTGCTGAAATGCTGTGATGTCCAGGGAGCTACTGAGTCAGTCAACAGCTTCTGATACGGTTTACGGTTCACTTTTACCCCTTTGTCTATGAAGATCAACGGGGTTTTGCCGGTGTGAGTTATTTCAGCCCAAACCATGACGGAAGCGGGATGATGACTCCTTGAAATACTTCCTCGATTTTTAGAAGTAACAGGAAGCAACTACCGATCATTCTGGTGGTTGTGATGCTTTGCAATCTCTGACACAGTCCGACACGACCGCATTGTTGACGTAGGACTACGAAACTTTTGGAATAAAGTGAATTTCATATCTCAATTCATTACAGGAGTGTTCGTTGCGTTGTACACTGAAAACCTAATCTTACTCAAAGAGTGAGTCACTTTTACTCATTTATATGAGTAATACTTACTCATTTATATGAGTCATACATGAGTAACCTACGCTTTAAGAAAATTTTCCATACGAATGAGTAAAAGTAACTGACAAATTAGTAAAAGTTAATTACTGAGCTAGTTTCGTTTTTAGTGTACAAAGCAACGAACACCCCTTTTGATCACTCGGCAGTCAAATGATAACTGCAGTCAAACTTTCTACGTTTCCCTTACGTAAGCATTTAGATTAGTATTCTATGCACCTCCTTTTTTTCTGTATCTTGCTGATGTAGGTGTGGTTGTGTCCAAAGCACGATCGCATTGTTGACGTAGAACTACGAGATTGTTTTTGATGCTACATTCACTAATATATTAATAACAAAATAAATGGTTTAGAAACTCAATTCCAAAATCAACGATTCATTTTTTTTAAATTGGGCGGTTATTGAAAAAAATCCTGAAATTAGGATTACCTTTGGCCGCTTTCTTGTTGGCTCGACACATTCAAACGCGTTCAGCATCGGTCCACGTCTGTTTCGCAGATTTCCCTGCTGGCTCCTGGTCTTTCACGCGTTTCCGATAATCGCGGAGGTATTTAGCAGCCATGTGTTGAGACATTTTGAAGATTTTTACAGAATTTCTCAATAAACACTTGTTTCACTTCGAATATTGACTCTCTTCAACGCGGAGTGTAAATACTGAAGCACTTATTGTACCAATTGGAATTTACAGAAAATGCTACAATGCATAATCACGGTGGTGTTACAATATGATGTCTGTGTTTGGGAAACAATCACCAAATGAAATTTTGATTGCCTTTCTTTTTGCACACGCCGGCTACACCGAGGGGGGCGACACATCTAAACCTCAATTCTAGATGCTCAAAAAATCTCACACTAGCGAATAAATCTTCGAAGAATCTTCTTTCATTTTTCGCATCTACTTGCATCGCGCATCATCTTTTTGCAGGAAATCTTCAAAATCGTGATAAATCTTCTTTCTATCTAAATACTCAGCGTACGCGTAGAGTCACAGCAAAGCACAATATTTCCTGCATCGTATATAGAGTTGTCCCCCTCGGGCTACACAGACTCCTCCCATCATGAGTACACTCATAAAATAAATCACATAATCAGTGGAAAATATCCATGTGAATTTCACAAAACTTTCATGTGATCCCATAATTGGAAATTGCACCACTAAATCACATGAACGTTATGTGTCAAATGAAATCTATATGATTTCTCATATAGAATTTCTAATGCTATGTGATATTCAGGTAAAAATCATTGTTTTTGTTTTTGGAAAAATACTATGTGCGTTCCTAATAGAAACTAAGTGAAAACTTTTGTCAGTGTAGTTTGCTGTCAAGTATCGACACTCTCCTTTTTCGTAGCTTGCCAATGTCAATACCTTGAAAGCCAAGGGCATTTAACGAGTTATTAACGAAAGATGAAGAGAATCACTTGCACCCCTTCTTCCAAGTTTATAACTCTGGAGAGCATTGTGTGGTCGTTTGGGGAATGTGGTTCTGAATATGGACAAATATCCAGATAAATTATATTCCTACTCTTTACTGCAATAAGAAGAACTTTTCGATGACGCTTGGCGCCTTCTTTACCAAGATCTTTTCCTCCTTGGCCACGATTAGTCTTTGTTGCTTGTTAGGTAGAAGAGTGTATTACCTAACCTGCCACCACTTTCCTACTGCTGTTATTGCTGCTTCCGCTGCCTGCCCACCACGCCGTCCGAAGCGATAATGAGTTGAGATTAGACAGCAGCGCTGTTTTATATCGTTTCAGGTTAAAGCAGAATGATGTGCAAGTGGTATTCGATTATGACGAGTGGGTTTGGGAAGAACGTTTAACAGAAATAAAATTATCACTTTTTAATTGTACATTGGACAATTCTTGACATTACCACTTTTTCAATAGTTTCTTGTTGAAAATCACCATTTGAAAGCATTGCTATTTTTTTTTTTTTTTTTTCCTTTGATTTGTTTTCCGTCGATCTTGTTTTCCGTGCTGAGCACCAATGCTACCGACGCCAGAGAGGCAGCTCCCACACCTGGACCCTACCTATCGACCCATCAACTCATGAACCGGGGACCAACGGCTTTACTTCCCTTCCGAAGGAAGGCGTGATCAGAGATGTTATGCCTCAGAACATCCCGGCGGCGCCGACTGGGATTGAACCCAGGCCTGCTGGGGTGAGAGGTAATCACGCTTACCACTACACCACCGGCGCCGCTGAAAGCATTGCTATTGATGCTTAGAAATATTAATGATAGATTGGTGATAAAATTATTGAAATTGGTCCAGGGACAGCTGAGTTATTAATGTTCAAAATCTTTCATAATTTTGTTACATGTTGCATTTTCGGTTTTCACAAAGTGTACCCCCATATAGAAATCATGGACGTAGTCCTACGTCAAAACAAATTGTTTGTTATTCCGATTGATTATAAGATTTGTTTGGTATAAATAAGATAGTTGTTTATCAATGATTAACCATTGAAAAATGATCAAAGTGTTAAACCACAATCAACCAAACGGTATCACTCAATATCATGTTTTGTCTTTGCTCTTTATATTCATTCACCTACATCTGCAAAATACAGAAATAAGGAGGGGCATAGAATGTTGATCTAATTGCTTAAGCCATGCCACTCCTTTTTCTGTATTTTGCTCCCCCGAAGAACCATTTGTTGTGAAGCCATGGGAACTCTCACCGAGGTGAGCTGTACAACTGCGCTTTTGAGGAGCATTCGCACAAGA